AGGTTACCAGTCTACCAGAGGGTCTACACCAATACCTAAGAGCTGTTTGGAAGCACCAATTTACTGATGACATATTCACATCAGATAAAAAGATTAACTCTTCTAACCAATGGTGCCATGGTGCAGTTCAAATGTTGAACAATGAAATTATTTCTGCACTGACAGATTGTCTTAACTTGGTGATGTTCAGAAGGACAGGTAACACTACTATGTATGTCAAAATCTGACTGTAATCATGTAATCACATACATCACATGCAATTGTATGAGAGAGAAGTAAAGTATATAAGTATAACTCCAAAATGTTACCCAAAAATAAATGAAATGGTATCAGTCATGAAAACAATAGCAGATTATTAGATTAAATAAATAGCATTGTAGATTTTTACGATCACAGACCTTTATACATCCTATAGCTGTGATGAAGTGCTAGCAGGGTTATTTGTAAACCTGGATCGTTAGGAGTTCACATTTAGGATTGTCTTTGTACAGATGAGAGTATTTTGAGTTGATGTAAAATGTCAAAGGTTTACAAGTTTAGCTGTCAGCATTTAATGGTCTCCTAAAGCCCAGACCACACATATGAGTTTTTGCTGCCCCAGATAAATCCCTCATTGTGAAAAGAATCGTGAGAAAAACACGATAAATGTGAGGGTGATTCGCAAGTCTGTAGCCGTCCAGTGTGAACGGCCCCGCAGCAACCTATTGTGCACTCTCATGACCATCGTCAGCCTCCTACAGTCTTCAAGCAGTCACCAAAAACCTACGACTCTGGTCAGCAATCAACCAATGAAAATACACCCAAGGACTGAAAAACCTAGGGACGAGAGTACAATAAGAGTAGAATTAGCATCATGCAACATTGAAAGCGACAAGCAGGAACTTTACTCCTCTTTGTTTAGAGTCTAAACGAAAGACATGATAAGGGGGCCGCTTATTTCTCTTTTCAGCGTTGTTGTTTTGGCTATATGTCGGCTTTTAGTGACGTATGCTTTTCGGTGAGTACACCCGTGATGTTAGCGTGTCCTGCTAAAGTGAGACGTGCCGTTTGGCTCTCTAAAATCTTGGACCGTTCGGTGTGCCAACTCCTTGAAGTCCTCACATGAAACAGTCCTGTGCAACAGCTGAAACACGGTTGTTTGCAATTGAGTGTTTTAGATCAGCAAACAAAATTCAATATCAAATGAAAATGACCTGAGTCAATAAACTCTGATTAACCACATTACTTGTGACTTACAGAGTTCAGGTTCACTATTCACAACCAGATCTGATTACTGCCAGACCTGTAGAATTAAGAACTTCACGTCCTGTTATGAAGCCCTTACAGGCCTTACTTGGTTAAATTTAAGGTCAAAGTACATGATTAAACAATAACAAAGAGATAAAGGGGCAAACATGGGAAAGTTCCAATTGTAAAAACCTCTGCTGTAAAAACCAAAGGGATGCTTCCTATACAGGTTGGTTTATGTTTGACGCGTCCGCGAGGTCCGCACGGCTCCGCACGGCGAAATTGCTTCATTTTAACAACCACGCCCCTCCACCGCATCTCCGCACGGCCCAAAATTTCCGCAACGTGCATCTAGGAAATTTTCTAACCACGCGGACGGACGGACGCGGAAAAGCATGGCAGACCGGCAAGAACTAGTATGGCAGAGGTTCGTAAATACAGACATTTGTATGATTCAGCTCTCAGAGATCACCGTGATCAACATGATGTTAATAATTCTTGGAGAGAAATAGCTCGCAATGTCGGAAAAGACGAGGACGCTGTTAAAAATGCTGGAATGCCATGTTGGAAACAGTAATTTCTACTTCTACTAAGGTGTAGTGTTGGGTGCATGCCGTAGAGCTCCATGCTGCCCCGTTCAGTTTGGGAGAATATTGGCTCACCGCGGAGACGAGCCGCACGAACCATAAACGCTGCGAGTTGTGAAGCGCATTCCATCCGCGAGCCGCATCACCGCGTGGAAAGTGAATGCGTCAAGCATAAACCAAGCTTTAGTCCCCCCCCCCCCAAAAAAATAAACATGTAGATGACCCTAACCCCAAAACTTTCAGAGAATAGGAATCCTAAAGCCTAGTTAATATATTTATTTATTTTATTTATTTATTGAGAACCTCATTAGCTCCCACCACAGTGTGGAGCTATTCTTCCTGAGGTCTCTTCCAATTTCATTACAAATATTTTACAACCCCCCCCCCCCCCCCCCCCCCCCCACGCACACACACACACACACACACACACACACACACCCAACGACAACAAACTCCAGGAGCTCATTATATTCATACCAGCTGAATTGCAATAATGATATACCAGTAAGTTACCACACACTTCAGTGTTTATGAAAAATCTAAATAAGTAAATACGAATGATGATGATGATGATGATTAATGATTCTGCGTCAGCTCCACGAGGGAGAGACTTACATGCATTAACGAAGACGTTTTGCCTTCAGACTTCTTTGTGAGCTGGGAAGTGTTGCAAAGCAATTACCCGCCAGGACAGCAGAGGGCATAGCCGCTTTTCTAGGCTATCCTGTCACGTATCTGGTCCAAAATACTGCATTTACTACTATTTATAATGGTTTTTTTTTTTGTATTTTTTTTTTTTGTAGTTGAGAGACTTTTTAAAGAACAAGTCACCCCCAAATCAACTTTTTTTTCCTGATAAACTATAAATGAGTGTCTAACTGTGCTGTAGGTTAGGGTTGGGAATCGAAAACCAGTTTTTGTTGAGAACCAGTTCCCATTGTTTCAACTCCTAGGAATCGTTCGCCACTTTTGCAAATGGCTCCCCTTATCAATTCCAGTCGGCGCGAATGACGTCACCACGGACGATGATTGCAGAGGTAGGAAACATGGCGAGTGAGCAGCACGGACACTCGAAAGTTTGGTTATATTTTACAATAAAGCATGACAACAGGGTAACTTGCAATAATTGGAAAGTAGAGGAAGCATTACAAATATACAAAACCTTTGGGCACAAAATACGTGATAACTTAAAGATATAGATGTGTTTTGACCCGCTCTGGACTAGTGAATGTCAACACAGCAGCAGGGGTGACGCTCGCACGTCCTCTCCTGTTAACACTGCCTATCATGTTAGTGTCATTAGCCTTATATATATATAGTATATATACACACACCTCCACACTAGCAGACTCCAGCGACAAAGATCTGACCTGTGGTGAGATTTTTCCCACTCTACAAAAGCTACAATAACACCGCACCGAACAAGAAGATGACTCTGCCTTCACAGGGAAAATAAAGGAGAACATATGGAAGGATATTTCCAACCGATACAGGTACAACTGATTATCATAAAGAAAATGACAATTATAATGCAGGAGCCTTGATTGATGAAGAGAATCAACAATGCCATTGATTAAACATATAAAAACATAAATTCCCACCCCTACTGTAGACACTTGTTTGGCACTTTAGTGCATCTTAGTTAAAATTTAAATATTCTGTCTAAAATGGTCAGTGTTTCGCCCTCTTCAGGTTAAAACTCTGCAACACATTTGAATTTAAATCTGCCATAGCTATTGGCTAAGAGGTACCCTGTGATGTTAGCTGGTAGCATATGATGTCACAATGCCGCTGTGAGCCTGTGTGTGTGTGTGTGTGTGTGTGTGTGTGTGTGTGTGTGTGTGTGTGTGTGTGTGTGTGTGTGTGTGTGTGTGGCTCAGCCCTCTCTGTATGCCAGGCAACGCCCCCTTGTGGCACATTTTTTCAAACAGGAAACGGAAGTGGAATTAGACTCTGGTAGGGGGTGACTTGCTCTTTAACACAAACAAATTTGTCCATTCTCCTACACCTCCTCATGCACTCGCCACCCCTAAACCCACGTTTCCCGTCATTTCCATCAACCCTGTGAATCATTATACTCCTCTCTAGTCATGGGTGAATAAAACATTCGTATTTTTAGTTTTTCCACGAAGTATTCTGCCGCTAGATATTGTCGGCTCTCTATTTTTTTGAAGGCGCAATGGTGGTCCTGTTGAGGAATTTAAAGGAAGCTGCGACCTGGCCAATCACTAGCTTGCACTCTCCATCGCGCTTAAGTTTCTAACCCTAACCCTCCCCTTCCTGTGGGCTTATTGATGATCACAAAAAATGACGAACGCAAGAATTAGGCCATAAAAGTAATTTGGCTGTTTTGCCTTACGCCATGAAAATCGTGTAGGAGAATCTCTGACGTTAAACAGCCAATCACACTGGAAAACCCTACAATGTGTCAAAATTTAAACAATTCACCAAAAAAAAGAGTCTGCTAAAATCCCTCCACAGTGGCGTGAGAAACCCATCATCAATCATTGCACATACATTTAGTGCATTCAATGTTTCTAACTGTAGTGGCTTTTGTTGCCTTTAAACACATTAACTCATCATTTGAACATTGCATTATGTAGTGAGATTACGTTTGTCTGGTATAAAAATTATTTTGGTGATCAAAAAGTGACAAAAATGTTTAAACAGATCGATATTGTTTACAGTATCTTCTATTTTATGTTGTCTAACTTGATTCATGTCAGAGACATGGACTATATTATAAATAACACGTATGGCTCTTTAAGGCCTGCTTTTGTCACCAATTCTTAAAGATGTTTAATTCCAGCCTTCGTTTGTTTAACGTGCGTCATAATCCTGACTAAAACTGGCACCACCAAGCATTTAATGTGGTTATGAGGCTAAACTGAGAGATGTAAATAATCTGGAATCAACACACTTAACTAGAGATCAGATTTGGAGGGACAAAATAAACAAAATCCACAACAATCCTCTTTATTGGGAGGCCTTGGGAAAAATAATGGTTTGACTAATCACCGACATTATTACACCTCTCTCATCCACCTCCTATCTTTATTATTCCTCTGCACATTTTCCCGCTGAAATAGAAGTAAAACTGGTGGTATAATTTAAAGATGATGAGCACATTCATGTGGGAGAACACCGGTGTGTGTGTGTTTGTGTGCGTTTGTGTGTCAGTCTTACCGGAGAGCAACAGCAGCAGCGCAGCGCTTGCCAGATGAACGCCAGAGCCACTCTCCTGAGCGGCCGGAGACATGGTCTTCCTCCTTTAATCTCCCACGAAGCAGAAGGTGGATAAAATACAAATAAAAGCAACAGCACTGCTCGTGAGGAGAATGTTATATACCAAAAAAAATATATGTTTTGTTTTTGTTTTTACAGGCAGGAAATGGCTGGCAGTGTCTGTAGCCTTAATGTGACGGTTGGTTTTATGGTTCTCGGGCTGTGTGATGGAGAGTGGGACGGACAGGACGCACGGGGGTATAAAGATGGAGGGGTTATTTAAAACTATTTAAATAAAAAAATATGACGGTATGAATAAAAATGTCGACAGAAAAAATAATGATTTTCTTCTGGAAACCGGGGACATCATTTAGCATTTCACTCAAAAATGACTTTGGTAAACAAAAATGTCTTGCTTTTGGTTGTTTCTGCTGGGGGCGGTGATTTGGGCAATGTCTTTGTTTTTATTTATTTATTTATTTATTTATTTTGCAAAGCTCTTCTTCATTTTTAAATTTAAATGCACACATCTTCAGAATGACAGTGTGACCAACTTATCACCCTGAAGTGACCCATGTGTAGACGAGAATATGATGTTGCATGCAACTAAGTTCAGTTAAAATGTGATATTTTTATATTAATAATGATAAACAATGGAATTAATTAAAGGGGAAATAAAAAATAAAGCAAAACACAAAGTCAGCGTTCTATTCAGAAATACGCTGTCGTGCACAGGAACCAAGAAATTAAACTAAACCCTACCCAACGCTTTTTCCATCCTTGCTGGGTGGGAGGCAGGATGAGATGACTACAATAGAATAATTTGATCACACAGAACTGTTCGTCTGTGACACGAAACATCAGTCTGTATGTGTTACTACTTATAAAACCAGGGATGAGAATGAAATCCACTCATGTCTGTCATTATCAGCCAATACACTCGTGATTTGGTGCATCTATACATCCGTGAGTTTTAATATAAATAAAAAGACCGTGTAAGGTGTTTGCTGCAGAGATGCTGCTGTTCTCTTCCCCATGTGATGGTTCTTTCTGACCAATCAGAGCTCAGCACCGCTTCTGTACGTCCACGCCTCAGCGTCATCGCTATAGAGGCGCTTATGGCTTTCTAGAACGTGTGCAAAGGAGCTGCCAGCCAGTGCTTATGTAAAGTATAAAGGAGTATAAAACACAAGTCTAGACATGTTTTATGTTAATATGTATCCCTCTTTTTGCTGTTTCTAATACTGTTTAAGGAAAACACTGGAAAGTTAGTTTTAATTTTAGCAATGGTGTGTGTGTGTGTGTGTGTGTGTGTGTGTGTGTGTGTGTGTGTGTGTGTGTGTGTGTGTGTGTGTGTGTGTGTGTGTGTGTGTGTGTGTGTGTGTGTGTGTGTGTGTTATGAATATAATGGAGTTTAAATGTTTGTTTAAAGGGGCATTATGGAAGTTTGACAGTCAAAACATGTAAATGTCTTCTTCATACATTCTCCTGCAATGCCCTGGTCCTGTAGAATGAGCCCTGGCATTTTTACTGTGATTGCCTGTTTTTCTGTAAAATCACAGAAAAAGAGAGCTGCTCGGGTCGAGCAGGCTGCTTCATGCGCGTTCACGCTCAGGCATAGCCCGTAGCATTTGCTATCAGTAGCATTAGCAGCAGAGAGTGAGGTAGTGCCAACTCAGCGACTTTGTCGCTGTTCCTAACGCCTAGTGATGAACCTAGCTACATTTCTGAGGACCCTTAGCTACTTTCTTCTAAATATTTCTTGCAAATTAGCAACAAAAAAAGCCATTTTCGCTTCGAACCGTTCTTTGAACGTTGTTTTAGCTGTAATCAAGGATGTAAATAGTACAGAAACCAAAGACGTCACTGGTGATTTAGCTCACCTAGTTAGATGTTGGACTCTCATGTAGGACACCTGGGTTTGATTCTAGATGTGAACATAGTTTATTTAGAGTTTCTTTTTTTACATTAATGGTATATTTTTTACAGTAAGATGCCCAAATTTTTATTTGAGACTCGCCAAACGGCATTGAATTCACCGATAAAAAAAGATGTGGGTTCAACTTTCATTTTGGAACAATTTTTCAAGCAAGGGGAGGGAATGATCTGAGCATGCAGGAGGACTGACCCATCTTAAACCTTTGTCGGCTGTGCTGAAGAGAAAGGTACAGAACCAAATTATTTAATTAATTAGCTGTGTGTTCTCTTGTCTTCTGTCCTCCGGGCCACACACACACACACACACACACACACACACACACACACACACACACACACACACACACACACACACACATGGGACTTTCTTAGCTGTTATCTTCGTTAAGGAGTGTGCACGTACAGCATGCCCGCCTCGTGCACTAGCCTAGTATTGCAGCTGCCGTTTCGCTTTTGGCCTGAGGGGGCAATTGCGAGCATAAAAATTCAAAACTCCGTAAAGTCCCTTTAATCATATCACATTGTATTATATGTATTTTTTTCCACAAACAAAACTTAGAAAATTTGGTTCCAGTGCCTTTTTTACATAGCTTATTATGCTTTAACTCGGGCAGAAGAATTTCTCCAACATTTTCTTGAAAATTTAAAATAGTTTTTAAATGACATGTTGAATTCAGCCTTTATGTGTGTGTTTCTTTTTAAGCTTATATTTCTGGTTTGAAATTAACATGAGACATTATGAGACCTTTATAGGAAACAAGACAGAGTTAATTTAAGCTTGTATTCCTTTTGTTAAGTATAATTACTTAAATGCTCAATTTTGTAGTTTTGCACAATCCTTTTTCTTTTGACCTCACTTTTCCGCTTTCTTTCTTTTTTATTCAACTGTGTAACAAGTTGCTGGAGCTCTGTGAGATGTACCCACACCAAACCCTCTTTATCAGATTTTTGTAATTTATTTTTTCATGTTTTTCTGTCCTTCCCTTTGACTTTTCTAATTTAGGTGTTACAGCCACCACCTCTATGCTCTGATTGCGGCTGTTTCCCCTGCTTACAGGCCCTAGAACAGCTAAGCTTAGATAGTTCTCTAATGGCCCTTACACACTAGTATCCGCTCCACTCTGCCTGGACTGGTTTGGGAGTTTTCTTGCATTTTCCCGCACACAACTGGGCGTTTTTTTTTACCCTTTTCTGGAGGAAGTCTGCCTGGAGCCGAACAGGGCCGACACGCCCACTGCTGGCTCAAAAGCACTCCTACCACTAGAGGGAGCCTCCGATTGGCGGATAGAATCAGCCCACAGGAGCATCATTCTGGATATCGTGGTGTTAACGAACCTCTGACTGAAGCCGTTTTTCTCTGTCCTTCACTGCTGTGAGGACACACACACACACACACACACACACACACACACACACACACACACACACACACAGAGAGTCCTGCCAGATATATCAAAGCAGGATGGCAGGATGCAATATCAGAGTCACAACAACAGCAAGACTGCTCTGGCCGCTTTTGTTTAATCATGGAGACACCGCGGCCTTCTGCACGCACTTTTGCCCTGCCCATGTGCTCGAAGATGCGCTCATGACATCACAGTCTGTCCATGTACTCAATCATGTCCGCATTCCTAAGGTAGCGTGGAACAAACACTTCCGGACTGGGGCAGGCGGTGCGTAGGGCAGCAGATGCTAGTGTGTAAGTTGCATATGGAAAATCAGCACCCTGGACAGCTACACATTTGAGAAGTCCTACAGAGCTGTACTGAATATCTCAGATAGCTGCTAAATGAGCAGCACCTTATAAAAGGGGGAAGATCACATGCTCTTTTGGAATGGGGGTTCAGATCGGTGCTGTAACTCATCGCTCCATTTTGTTTGTACTGCTATCTATTTCTGTTCAGGAGCTTGAGAGAGCTCTTTCAGAGAGTATAGTTTAACTGCTTTGAGAGAATGCTGAATCAGGGAAGGAACCGGATCTGTGCTGTTGCCTTATCACTCACCAAGTTTAAGTAAGTTAGCCTCTCTGTTGTTTTTCCCTTGTAGTTTTGGATGCAGATCTTTAGTTAAGTAGTTAAACTCTGGTACGACTTATTTCTCCCTGTAGTTTTGTTAGCTTATCAATGTCTCTGTTTTTCTCCGTAAAGAGTTACTTTTCGGTTTGTTATATTTATGAAAGAGGCCTTTTTAGTTTGTTATTTAGTGTGATTAGCTGGGGAAATGTCCATGTGTTTATTAGGCTTAGATATCTGCTACCTTGAAACCACAAAATAAACCATTTTACTTTCATTTACATCAGTTCGGCCTTTAACACAGTCTGCCCAGCTCTCTTCCAGGACAAGCTGTCCTTACTCAATGAGCCTGACCCCATCTGCCTGTGGACCACCGACTTCCTGACAGACAGGAGATGACTTGTGAGGCTGGGAAGAATTGTCTCAGACACTCAGACCATTAACACCCCTGGTCTGTGTCCTTTGTCCTTTGCTCTTCTCCCTCTACACCAACTGCTGCTCCTCCAGCCACCACTCTGCGAAGCTGGTCGAGTTCGCAGATGGTACCACCCTCATTGGCCTCATCTCAGACGGGGTCGAGTCTGCCTACAGGAGGTAGGTGGGACGTCTGTGGTTCTAACAACAACTTGGAGCAGAATGCCCAGAAGACGGTGGAGATTATTGTGGACTTTAGGAGAGTGTCAGCTCTACTTCCCTCCATAACCTGGTTGGACACCTCTGTCTCAACTTTAGGCGCATCCTCAAGTGAAGGATGTCCATCAGCTCCCTCATCAAAAAGGTCCAACAGAAGATGTTCTTCCTGTGGCAGCTGATGAAAATCAGATTGCCAACCAGATGGTCCAGTTCCACATGACCATAATTGAGTCGATCCTCACTTCCTCCATCACTGTGTGGTACACTGAGGGCACTGCCAGGGGAAAGCACACAATACAGCATGTTGTGCATTCAACAGAAAAGCTGATTGGCTATACCTTTCCATCCGTGATCTGCACATCTCCAGGGCTCTAAGGCATGCAGGTTGAATCGCAGCTGACCCCTCCCATCCTGGTCATGGACTGTTAAATCCACTCCCTTCAGTCAGGAGGTTCAGGGCCATTCAGATCAGAACCTCACACCTCTACTGTAGGACTTCTGAACACCAAATACCCATTATAACCATACAGATCTACAATAATGACTTTGTTTCTTATGTTTATTATTCACGATCTTTTTTTGATGAATCCTGTATTTCACTTGCAAGTTTGCACCATTCCA